CACCTGCAGCTCTTCATCTAACCAAGTTCACTGTTGATGCTTCTATTGTTTTTTTTACCACTACCTCCTTGCGTTAATTTAAATAATAATAGACAAACAACAACATTACGATTACGGTATTCCTGCTACTGAATCACAATAAAAGCCATCCACTAGTGCATTGGTAACATCTTTCAGTGACAGTGAGGGAGGGACAGAGAAATGTAAACCCAAAGCTGTGTATTTGTTCCATTCATGCTGAGTTGCCCGTCACTAGAGTGCTCAGAAGACCGTTACACTGAACGCTCATCACGCTCCAGCTTCTCTTCCATCATGTCCTGATATTTGTGTCCATCATCTCAGCTTTCTGTCCTCAGTGCTGACCACAGGAACGTGTCTCAAGTTGTCCGCTCATTGTCTCACCTCATCTCTGCCTCCATCCTAGGCCCTGTGTTTGGAAACCAAGATCAGTATCTTGGCCTGGCATTGTTTTTGGATACCTTCCGCAATGACCTCCATGGAATGGATGTAAGTGTGATTTGTGTGTGTGTCTCGGGGGGATTGACCTGCTTGTTTCTTTGCAGGGCCCGTGTTTTCCAACAATGCTATCTTCCACGGGCTGGCCGTTTTTATAGATACTTACTCTAACGATGATGCGACGGATGTGAGTGGTTGCTCAGGTTTTACTCGCCGGCATGCTGTCTCAATGCAAATTAGTTTTTAGTTTTTCTTCACTTTTCAATTAGCATGTTTTCCTTTTTAAAAGCATGTCAACTTTGAAACCCCTGCAGAGTTTATTTTGTCATATTTGATTCTACTGCAAAAACACAAGTTATTGAGCGTTATGGCTTTCTGGAAATAACTTGTGTTACAACATTAAATTAGTTAAATGTCTTAAATGAGGTTGTTTTTCTTTTACCACCACTTGTGAAATATGCTACTTTCACATTGCAGCTCTCTCTTTTTTATCCCTTTTGGAGGCAGTTAATCTGCGTGAACAGCTACAATTTGGACTACATGGTCACATGGTATTAAAACAGATCCCAAGGCATCCAGGATGTTATTTGCTTACTTTGAAATACACAAACAAAAGTTTGCCTGACCTTTTTCACAACAGCCACTTTGAAGTGAAACAGTAGGGTAAACACAGGTGTTAGCATTGACACTGATCAAGGCTCTGTTCCATTCAGGTCAGGGTGCTGCTATTGTGCATGTTGGCTCTGCTACACTAAATGGAACAGAACCTTAATTAGTATCTTTGATAACACCTGTCAAAATGATAAAACCTAGTTCTTATTTTTTTTTATAATTATTTGAAGTCTACTTTAATAGACAAAATGTCAGAGTTATCAGAACAACCATCCAATATCACAACACATTTAGAATTGATGCTAAGAATGCCTGCATTGTGAAGGCAGCCTGTGTGTGTGTGTGTGTGTGTGTGTATACAGTGTATAAACATAAGCTGATAAGACCAGAAATGCATCGATGTGGGCTTCTTATATTTTATTTCCTGTATTCGTTTGTCCATCGTCTTTATTTAAGTGGTTTTTTTGTTCCGATTTCTTTGCTGATCCTTCCCTCTCTGTCGCCAGCGCTCCTTCCCGTACATTTCGGCCATGGTGAACAACGGCTCAGTGAGTTACGACCACGGCAAAGACGGCCGATCGTCGGAGCTGGGAGGCTGCTCGGCCGAGATCAGGAACAGAGAGCACGACACGTACCTCGCCATTCGCTACTCCAAAGGGAGACTCACTGTACGACAATCTCCACACAAAAACCTGTATTTTCTCAGGGATGCTACATAACTTCTCTTACTATTTGTCTATATAATGCAGACCAAATGATGTACAGTGTAATATAACATGGTAATTATGGAACCACCACTTTTGTACTTGCCCCATTTAAACCTGTGGCTTGCTGTGTCTGGATTCAGTTTAACTGTTTTACCACAGTACATTTTATTTTCTAGTTTTAATAGCTTCTTAACGTCTCATGTGTCACTTGTGGCAGAGCTGCACCATTTACATCCAGTCTGTACCCTGCAGGTGATGGTTGATGTTGATGACAAGAATGAGTGGAAGGAGTGCATCGACATCGGAGGAGTTCGTCTTCCTACCGGATATTTCTTCGGCGCCTCAGCAGCTACAGGAGATCTGTCCGGTAAGTCAGGGCTAGAAAGCTACACAATAACACATACGTAAAGTTAGAATATCCACTCTGAAGTGTTCAGTCACAGTGTGGCTGAACTATCTGTTTCATTTCTAATGTTCATACAAAGTCTTGAATACGACGGAGTATTACGGCCGGACTAAGAGGGGGTAAATTACAAGAATAAAGTCATAATATTAGGTCTACGAGAATAAAGTCGTAATAATACGAGAATAAAATAATAATAATACAAGAAAAAGTAGTTTTAATGAGAAA